ACCTCGCGAAGACCATCGAGGGCGACGCGGCTGAGGCGGACGCGCTGGTCTCGAGTGCGTGGGACCACAAGAACATCGCGCTGCTCGAGCCGACGTCCTCGTGCGGCGCTGGCGACCAGAGCAGTCAGGCGTGGGGGATCTCGGTCTTCAAAGTGGAGGAGCACCGCCACTGCACGGACGGCGAGACGGCGTGGGAGGGACATCCTTGCGTCCACTACTCCGGCTACGTCTCGGCGGCTACGTCCAACTTTGTCAACGTGAATGAGGGCCGGTTCGTCTGCCAGCTATTCGTTGACCCTTTTTTAGGCATGGCACTCTGAGCGCGCCATCGCGCCCGATACGGCCGCCCTGGCCCTGCGGACCTTCCCAGAGAGCTTGGCGAGGCTGTACAGAACGCCGAGAGAATACTGGGCAGGCTGCCGTCGAGCGACGAGCCATGCTGGCTCGTCGCCGGCAGCGAGCTCGATCGAAGACCCGCTCCGAGCTTCGCCGAGCCTGGCGGGCCCGCCCGAACGCCCGCGGCCGCAGGCAAGAAAGGCGAGCTTCCTGGCGTCTCTAGCCAGCGCTGACACGACCGAAGCGGTACGCTTCGGCGCCGTGAGAGCAGCCGGTCGACGTGGGCACCAAGCGCGCGGCCGCCGGGCGCCTTCGCACCGACAGGGGCGCCACGGCAGTAGAGATCACTCCACCTCTTACCGTAGTAATAACGAAGGCGTTGAAAAAAGAAACTGCAACGTAACGAATTCGTGTACCCGCCTGAGAGGCTCAGGTTTGCCCTTGGCGGCTCCTTGCAACCGAATGCTGCAACCTCCGATCTCCACCCCCTCACCAGCCAAGTCCTGCCCCGCCGCCGCTCCCGCCGCCTCGCCAGCCAAGTCCTCCTCCTCCTCCGCCGCCTCGCCCGCCAAGCCCGAGGGCGGCTCGCGACGCCGGTGCAAGGACCCTCGCTATAAGACCGTCCTCTGCAAGAACTTTGTGGCTGCCGGGAAGTGCCCGTACGGCAAAAAGTGCCAGTTTGCGCACGGTCAGAACGAGCTGCGTGAGCGTCCTCCCATACCGTCCTCCCCAGTGGCACGAGACACGGCGGCGACGCCTCCGCCGCCCGCCTCTCCTCCGGCACGGGCCTCGGTGCCCACGACTCCAACCTCGTCACCGCCGACCACCCCGACGACGAGGCCTGGAGTGGTGTACGTGCCGATGACGGTCCAGGTCGACTCGGAAGGGCAGCCCATCCGCAAGGCGCCCAAGCCCTTGTTCCTCCCCGCCTTTGATAGCCGCTTCTCGCCGCCGCCGCTCGCCGCCGCCGCCGCCGCCTCGGCGCCCGACTCGCCGCTGTCGCGCGGGCGGCTCGGTCCCTCCTCCCCGGTGCCGACCGCCCTCACGCCGCCCGCCCGCCCGGTCGAGGGAGGCCGCTTCCGCCCCTTTGCCGAGCGGAGCGGCTGGCCGTCCGAGCCGTCTCTCTCGTTTCGCGGCTCGCCAGAGCTTGCGGCGGAGCACCGGGCGGCGGTGGCGACGCCGCTGGCGACGCCGCGCGCGGTCTACGCGCCGCACAGCGCGCTCGCCGCCGTCCACTTGGGCTCCCTCTCCCTGACGGAGCGAGTCATGTACATGGACAGCGCCGCAAAGGGAGCCGGCAAGGAAGTTGGCGCGAAGCCGGCGGGCAGCTCGTGCAGCGCCGTCTGCAGCGGGCTCGGAAGCCCGCTCGCAGCGGCGGCGCACGAGGGGGCAGGAGGCAGGGTGCCAAGCTCTCCGCTCCCCCCCGGACTCGCCTTCTCGGGCGCCGCCTCGTGGGGCGGCGCCGCGACGGCGGCGGCGACCGGCGAGTCGAACCTGCAGGCCGGCGGCCAGGTCGGGCGCGAGGCGGACCTGCGTGTGAACCGCTCGACTGGCCGCGTCGAGCTGCAGTCGGCGGTGTCTCGGAAGGCGTCCTTCAACACGAACGCGCTGCGGAGGCAGCTCTCCCTCGTCCTCGACCACGGCGATGACACCGACGAGAGCCGCGCCGTGCCCCTCCCTGCCGACCACGAGCAGAGCCGCCCCCAGCACGCACTCTTCGGGCGGAGATCGCTCGCCCGCATGGCGGAGGCGGCGATGGACGCGGCCGCGGCCGAGCCGGTGGTGTCGCCCGGGCGGACCGCCGCGCAGGGAGGCCTCCAGGTCAACGAGGGCTTTTGCCTCGACTCGCCGATTGTCGCCTGAGCCGCTCCGGCTCTGCTAAGGTGTCGGGCTCTGACGCGGCGTCACTCTGGGTCGGAGTCCACTCTGGTTCGGGCGGGCGGGGCCTGGCTCGCGGCCCGCGGCGGCGGCCGCTCTCCTCCCCTCCCCCCTCCACTCCCCTCCCCCTTGATGCCGCCTATTCTGTCCATCGCGGTCTATTCTCTATTGACGCGCCGAGTCTCTTATCTCCACGCCTCGCCTCCCACCTCCCCTGTCCATTGTGTTCCGTTGGCGTGTGCGTGCTGTTAACTCGCGGCCGGGCCAGGTCGCGCGAGAGGGCTGCTCCGCAAGAGCACGGACCCTCTTTGGCCTGTGTGGCTTCCGGTGGACAGTGCGCCACTTGCTCATGTTGTGTGTAATATATTGGTGCAATTTGGGAGATGTGCATAACCATATGTGCGTGTATTCGTTCGTGTGTATCCGCCGTGCGCGCCCGAGAGGGCGGGCGTTCTATTTTTTGTGAATAAGTCCTGTGTATACACTTTCCTTCCTTACCGCGCTCCGCCAAACCGCTCTTGCAGTGCCATCTGCGCACCCTTTGTGTCTGGCAAAGCGCGAGCGCCTTGCCTCGCCAGCGGCACCTCCAGCTCCACCTATAAGCACGGCGGCACATCCCGCGCACCTCAGAGGACACGAAAGAAGCGCGCATCACAATGGACGCCTCTCTCAGAGTCACCCGCTCGCCGCTCGCATCGAAGCACTCGTATGGGCCTAGAGCGAGAGGGAGGTGCACCGAGAGAGCTCACAGACAGAGTGCTCGAAAGTGCGGCGGCTCGCGGCTCGTCGCTTCAGCCTGGGTAGAGCCGCGCCACCCCGCCCGTCACCGCCGAGAAGGCCGACATCGGCCGATAAAAGTACGCGTGCGGCAAGAGCCCGTTGGACAGCTGCCCGTTCACGACGACCAGGCCGGCGGCCGAAGCGGGCGGCTCGACCAGCGCCGTCGCCTACCGCAGTCGCGTCGGCAGTCATAGCGCTGCCAGCAACCCGCGGCTGTCACCGGCGCGGCTCGCCGCGTCCCACTCCTCGTCCAAGACGGGCGACACCACCACCACGACCTTGTCGCCCGCGCAAATCTTGAGCGCCTGCGCACGCAAGCCCGCGCGTCACCCAAAAGGCGTGTCTCTGTCTCACCAGCGCAGAATCATGTCCAATTCTTGACCCGCGCCATGCGCCTGCTTGGCGTCGCGCAGCGATAGGGCATCGCCGCCGAGTGCCGCGCGCGCGCCTGAGCTGCAACCGACCAGCACCGGCTCGCCGTCACACACGCTGCTGTCGGCCAGGCGTCCGCAGAGCTGCAGCGCAAACCGCGCGTTCGCCTCGTGCACCTTCTGTTCCGACGCCGCAGAGCCGTCGCTGCGCGCGTTGACGCTGGCGATGGGCGGGAAGTCCACCTAACTGGAGAGGAGGCAGGCTTTCAGGCCGCCGCCAAGACAGAGGCGCTGATGCCACGCGCTCCGAAGGTCGTCGCCTCCACTGCCTTCTCCGTCTCCAGGCTCTGCAGCACTCCCCGAACCGCCGTGTCGTAAAGGTCTTGGTAGGACGAAGGCAGGCCGCCCGAGACGCTCAACACCGGCTGATACACGTCAGCTGGGTTTGGCGGCGGAGGCGGCAAAAGTCGAGCAAAGAAGTTGGCCGTCGGTGGCGGGACGCGAGGCATCGGTGGGCGAGGAACTGCGGAGCGCCAGCCCTCGGCGACGGCGAGGCAGGTGAGGCCAACGATGCACATATATCACACCACGCACACCACGCAGGGGTTCCGGCTCCTAGCCGATAGAGGGACTGCTCGCCCAACCTCCCGCTCGAAGTGAAACAAGATCTGCAAAAAAACAAATACGAGAACGCCAGCCAGTGTGGACAGACCCCCTACCCGGCTAGGAGCACGGGCATGAAAAGCGAACGATAGAGTCGCTTTGCAGGGCCCTATGGGCCAAAAACAACAACTACGTACAATCTGGGAGGGGCCAGCCAGTGTGGACAGACCCCTATCCGGCTAGGAGCCCGGGCCCAGGGTTCCAAGTTTTGCGGGGTCCCAGACCCGGCTGGGCCAGCGTCGGCTGGTCGAAAAAGGAAGGTACGAAAAGGGTGGGTATTTGTGTGTGTGTGTGTGTGTGTGTGTGTGTGTGTGTGTGTGTGTGTGTGTGTGTGTGTGTGTGTGTGTGTGTGTGTGTGTGTGTGTGACGTGAGGGTGAGGCGCTTGCGCCCATTGAGGGTAGGGGCGCATGCGTAACGACGCTGCTAGAGAGATGGCAGATCCAGATGCCTCTCGGGGCCCACGCCCAGAGATAAAACGTCTGATGCCATGCGTGACCTAGTGTAGTGTCCCCAGCGATGGTCGTGTCCACGCGGGAGTCAGGTGTGGTGTGGACGCGAGCTCCGCCGTGTTCACGGAGGATGGAGGCAACCGATATGCGAGTCGCATGGCGAGTCGAGTTCTCAAGTCGACTGTAGAGAGTGTAGATCTATGTCGTTATGGTTTCGTATCAAGAATACTCACTGCTCACTCACTCACACTGGGGGGGTATGGACCAACATCAAAACGCACGCACGCCCCGGCCAGACTGTCGTCGGCCTCGCGGCCGAGGTTGACATGTGCAGACCACGGGGGCCGGGCGGCGTCAGGTGTGTCGTTGGCGAGGGCGTGCCACAACTCCTACGAGGACGCTGGCAACGAATGGGCCGTGCCAGTGAACCTTGGGAAAGACAAGGTTCGCCCTGTCGCCGGTCCGCGTATGCCGGAGGTAGTTGTCGCACACGACCGACGCCTCCACGAGGCTGAAGGTCAGGAGCTTGAGGCGGAGCGGGAGATCCGCCGCCGGCCGTGTCCCGAGCCAAGCACCCAAACACGCGGCCAGAAGAACGACTGCAGCGGCACCCTCCCGCGCGTCGTCGAGCTGGGCGGACAATACCGCGGGCGCGAGGGTGATGGCGTCGCGCAAAAGGGCAAACGCGGCCGCGACGAGCAGCACGCAAGTCAGGCGGGTGCTGTCGCGTGTGCCGAGCATGTGGAGAGTGAGCAAGCCGGCGGCTGCACTCGCCGCCCCCCACCGGAAGGCTGGCACCGAGGACAGGTCAGACGTAGCGACCGCGAGTACGGCGCCAAGGAGGCTGCAGAGGAACAGGGGCCGTCGCCAGACGGCAGCGCGCACGGAGGCCCGTGCACCAGGCTCAGACGTGACCGTGCTGAAGAGCGGCGGCGATGGGGGCACGGATGGAGGCTCATCTTCTGGTTGGCCGGCGTCCCGCTCGAGATCAACGGAGATCTCCGGGAGGCAGGGCGACGCGGCTCGTGGAGATGGACGCGGCCTGAGGAGAGTTGCGAGAAGGCTCCGAGAAGGCTCCGAGAAGGCTCTTGGCGATGTGGAGGCGTATCTCCCCGTATCTCCCCGTATCTCCCCGTATATCTCCCCATATCTCCCCAGTCGCTCACCACCCCCCCGCCGGCCGAGGGGCATATCTCCCCGTATCTCCCCGTATCTCCCCGTATCTCTCCCCATATTCTTGGCGATGTGGAGGCACCTGGAGGCGGCCTCGAGGGCGGCGTGCGAGGGGAAGGCAGTCGCCGTGAAGGCGCGCCTATGGGGAGAGATGGGGGGAGATACGGGGAGATATGGGGAGATACGCCTAGGCAGCTGCCGTGAAGGCGCGCCGGTGGTGCGCGCTAAAGTTGAGCCGCCTCAGGGCCTTTGGCACGTACGGCGCCTGACCCGGTGCTACGGCCGGTGACAGCGTGCCTCGTGTCGGCTCCCCGCGCCAATCGTGTGCAGCGTGTGCGTGTGCGTGTGGGCCGTCCTCTATGCAGCACGCTGGGAGGTGTGTCAGACTGACTGGCTGACTGGCGCCTCGGCGCAGACGCGCGAGGCGCAGCGGTACGGTGACACGGAACAGGGCGAAGGAGAGTTGTCGACCCAGCCGGGGTGGTGCTCGCAGGGAGTGCACGCGCGTTGGCAGCTCGGCGGCAGCGGGGACGCGTACCCCACCCTCCCGCCCTCGCCCGCCGCCGGGCACGCTTCGTCCTGCAGGCAGGCGACCTCGAGGGCGCGGTGGCCGGGAAAGGGCCTCGAGTCGTCCGGACGCGGCCCCCTCTTGCTCTTGCACGCGCCCCTTCTCGCCTCCCACGAGGAGAGCGGGAGGCGAGGCCCGCCGTAGCGCGCCCACGTGTACGATGGCCGCCGCCCCCAGAAGGACCTTTCCTCTTCTCCTCTCTCTCTCCCTCTCTCCCTCTCCCTCTCTCTCTCTCTCTCTCTCTCTCTCTCGCTCTCTCTCTCCCTCTCTCTCTCCCTCTCTCTCTCTCTCTCTCTCTCTCTGTCTCTCTCTCTCTCTGTCTGTCTGTCTGACACACCTCCTTGTGGGGACTTACCAATTTGGAGACACAGTTTACCTGGTGGTGGACTGCTGACGGGGTTTGCGATGAGGAGCGATCCGAATGGCATTCGGGTCACGAAATGCGTCACAAACAGGACAGACACTTGTTGACAGCCACCCACATCAGGCCGCCTGTGTGAGCCGTGCTCTCACCACCTCCATCGCCTCTGCCTGCGGCATGCAGCGCCACCACCCCTCCCCGAGCACCTTCCCTGTGGCTGTGGCGCGCGCCTCGAGCGCCTCCTTGATGCGGTCAACCTCTCCGGCATACCTGTCATGGACCGTCGCAGCAGGCACATTCTTGACGGCTCCACTGTCATGCTCACGTCCACGTGCTTCAAACGCCGCAATTGCCTCCGCACGCGGCTTGGTGAGCTGGAGCACCTCAAATCGCGGCGAGTCGAGCAGGGCGTCGAGCACGTCCATCTTGACAACTTTGGCCACGGTGCACGCCTCCATGATGACCAGGCTTGGTGGCTCATCTATGCCGTGCTCCGTGAGCACACACGGATCGCCACGCAGCAGCGCGGCCAGGAACTCACAGCACTGCGGAAGGAGGAGGTCCGTCCCTCCGGTGGGCGGGACAGTGTTGCGCCACCGGCGCCACTGCGGGTTGTCATCGCAGGCATAGAGTCCTGGCACCGCAACGGTGTTGGGGCCGTTGATGTGAAACGTGACCTGCGAGCCGACACCTTTGCCTACTAGTTTCGTCGAGCGGCAGATCCGCCACCGGCCAAGTACCTCTTTGATGTCCGCCGGTGTCTTGCCCTTCAGCTCGAGAACCTCCTTCTGCATTAGATAAGTCTTGCCCGTACCTGAGGCACCAGTGACAACAAGCACGTCCGGTCTCTCGCTCAAGGCTGGCGGGCGCCGCCTCGTCCGTCGCCCCTTCTGCGCTTTCGGCATGTTTTTACCGTCCGCCAAAACAAAAAAGAGGGGAGTGTCTTGTGTGGAGGTTTGCCAGAAACCCTGAGGAGTTTCACAGTGCCAAGGTACGTCTCTTTTAATTTCCAGTAAGGATCGCGCGTAGGGCCGCCGCGCGTAGGGCCTTTACGGGCCTAAGCCCCCCCCCCCCCCCCCTTCTCTGCCGTGAAGCTAAAAGTGTAGCAACAATCATGCGAATCCAAACAATCGAGAAATCCGCGAATCGCAAAGCCCGGCGGCCGACGGACGGACGCGCCCCGATATTGCTCGCGCGACGCAGTCTCTCGGCCCTATGGCAAAGGGCTCCCAGAGCTTCCGAAAGCGCCAGAAGAAGCGGGCGGAAGCTGAAAACACGGAAGCTGAGAACACGGAAGCGGTCGGACATGGACCCGCCGTGAACTCCCTCCCTGAGGGCAGTCGCGTGCCGGCCGTGAACCCCGCTGACGGCAGCCGTTTCCGAGTACCAAAGCTTCTCTTCCCCTTTTTGTGTGCCTCGCCAGTCGTTGTGCCTGAGCAGTCCTCTATCCTGTGCAACCAAGACCCCAAGACGGCGCTGAAGATCCTGGACGAACTGCAGCAAGTCACGCTCCTCGACCGCTGGCGCCGACTTGTTCTGGACTTTGCTCAGAGCGGCAGCCGAGACAAGAAGGTGCATTTCTTGATTCGTGGTGCAAAGCCACCTGACACACCATTTCAAGTGTCCGGGGACAGCTTTTTGGTCCTTGTCATTCGCTCGACCGTCGCTTACCCGGTGCTCATGGTCAACGGCAGCTTTGGCCCGGAGGTGTCAGACTATGTTGTCAGCGCAGCCAAGTTTGCTGCAACCCACCAGCCGGACACCCAGAGAGATGGCATCCATGCGGGCATGCCTGGCAACTATGGTGCACTTGGTTTGCGCAACAACTACCTCGACTCTGGGCAAGTGGGCGAGTTCCTCCCGCAAAGGTGCGCGTGCGGAGCTCAATGCAACCTCGAGGGTCGCTTTGAGAAGTTTGAGGGTGCACGCAACGATGCAAAGTCACTGGCTGTGCTCTGTGAAAATGCCCTGCTTCGGGACTTCCCTGGAGAATGGGCACGGCTGGACAGCTTCAAGTCCAACCTGCTCACTGCGTATTCCGCTCAGCGTGCGCTTGCCGCAGCAATGATGGGCAGGTGGCCTTCTGCTCTCTTCAAATCACCAGCCAGACCCACAAGACTCCACCACACACACACACACTCACTCACTCACTCACACACTCAGACAGAGAGAGAGAGAGAGAGAGAGAGAGGGGGAGGGGGAGGGGGAGGGGGAGGGGGAGGGGGAGGGGGAGGGGGAGGGGGAGGGGGAGGGGGAGGGGGAGGGGGAGGGGGAGGGGGAGGGGGAGGGGGGACAGACAGACAGACAGACAGACAGACACACACACACACACACACACATGCTACATGAAGAGCTATTGTGGGATCATCTTCAATTCACAGTTGGCACCCTCCCTGCTCACAGGTTTGCCTCAATTATTTTTGCCTGGGGGAACAAGACGGCGCTCAACCACCCAGATGCCAACAACCATGGGCTGCCATGCCCATTGGTCTTTGTTGCCCCGCCTCTGATTCGAGAGCGGCTAGATGGGGGTGAGCCCCTAGACCTTGGGCTGTGGGTGTGTGAGGACGCGCACTTGCAGATGACACTTGCAGACGGTCTGCACCTTTGGTACTTCCCCCAATTCGCACACCAGTGCCTTGCCTCATCAGCACTTCTGGAAGATGCACTCAGCATTGACCGCCTAAAGCCACATGCAACACGTGTGGCAAAGGAGAAGCAGAAAGAGGCAAGCATTCTGCTGCAGAGGGAAGGGTGTGCCTGCTAGCAGTGATACGCTAGCAACGAATTCCCACAGTGGCCATGTCTTGCGGACACTCCCTGACACCCATGCCCTACACCCATGAGCAGGTACCAGCACCATGCCAATGGCTTCAAGAACCTGGAGGATGCAGCCAACTTCAATGCTGGCCTCATAGGTGGCACTGCATACCTGCAGCAGGGGGTAACACACCGGCTCTTCCGTGCAGCTGCCAAGGGCCTGGAGGAGGGCCTCCCAGCCCAGGATGCACTGCGAGGGAGTGCTCAGAAGTACCCAGGGGTGGGGGGCAGCAGCTCCATCAGCACACCAGCCATTCCCCCTCCACCATTCCCCTCCCTCTCTAGCTGCACCGACGATATTGAACCGGGCACCCGCCGTGATCGTACCCAATGCAAATTGGGCATGCGGGTGGAGGTGCGATGGCAGGACAGTGGCGGGCATGCTGCCTGGTTTGCAGGTCTTGTTGTGGAGGGAAAGGGGGCTGGGACGTGGAAGGGGGAGTACAGGGCACAGTGGGGTGTGCTGTACGAGTGTGACGGCAGAGTCATCGGCCTGCCACCAGAGTGTGAGTGGCGCGTCTGCCGTGCGCCCGCTCTGGGACGCACACGCTCAGCACAGGTGTAGGTCATGCAAAAGAAAGGAGGGGGGGCGGGTTCTCCTGCTCCTGACAAGGGACACGACAGGCTCGCAGCGCGGTGCTCGGTGGACTCATTTTCAGCTTTTTTCTTGGTTTCAACTTTGTGAAATCGGTTACGCCGGCGCGCCGCAGTCGTCGGACGTGACCCTGATCGAGCTGGAGTCATGCAAGCACGCTCTCAACGAGTACAAGCTGCGCTGCCAAGGCCTTCGAACCGAGAACCTCAAGCTGCGATCCGAAAAGGTCGCTCGCAAGAGCGACGCACTGCAGGTGCGTTGCGACTGGCTCCCCAGCCCCAACGCCACTCTCATACTCTCATATTGGTGCGACGACGACTTACCGCCTCCCGGTCCCCCTCAGCACACCTCCGCTGCTCAATGTTTCCGCGCTCGCCCAGCGCCCCATATCGACGGGGACCATCCACCTCTCCCATGCCACCCCCGCCCTCCACCTCGCCCACCCCTTTGCCGCCCCCCTCTCCTTCGCCGCCCCTCGCCCCCACCGCCCTCCTCCTCCACCCCCCGTCCTCCCCCCCGCCCTACAGAACCACCCACTGCTCGCAATGTACCTAAAACCACCCATGCTCGCGCTCCTGCCGGCCTATTCCGCCCAGATCTTCGCCAGCGCGGCCAACGAGCTCCGTCGTTGCTGTTGTGCCGTGCAAGCGGCTGGTGCCGCGCGCGCTGGCTTTCGCCTGCACGCCCGGCGGTGAGGAGGGACCGGACGGCACGATACTCCTCGCCTCCGCCATTCCAGTCGCGGCGACCCACGCGTGCGCGTGCCGCCAGGGTTGTCTTGTCGAGCGCGGAATGGCGTACAGCCGGCGGAGGCGGACGGTTTTTGGTTTTCTTCTTTTTTCATTGTTTTTTTACGTTTCATTGTTCGCTTGTATCGAATTCACGCTCGTCTCGACAGCTTGCTCTCATGTTTAATGTTTTGTGACGCTCCTTCTCCATGTGGCCCTCCCGGCGCTCGCAACCCTGCAATGAGGGCAAAGGCTTGCTTTCTTAGCTTAACCCCGCAGCGCCTGCACAGAGAGTGGGCACTTCACAAACTGCACGCGGTACCCGTGAGATGCGCCCCTGTTGTCCACGTACCGGACTGCCGGACCGTAGCGCCCGCCCCGGGGCTCCCGGTCGTCCTTGGGTAGCAGCGGCCGCGTTCTCTGCCACAGGAGGCGCAGGCCGAACGCAGGCCCCATCTTGAAGCCCAGCGCCTCGGCCAGCGGCTGCAGCCGCAGGAAAAGGTGCGCAGCGTCCTCCGGATCGGAGGAAGCTGTAACCTCGGTTCCCTCACATAGGCGCACCCGCCGCTTGCCGCCCCGCAGCAGCGTCCGCGAGTCGTGCATCTGCGGCTCCATCAGCTCGACCATCGCGTCGACGGGCGCGCCAGCAGCGAGCTGCGCGAGGTCGCGGTCAAAGACGGAGATGCCGAGCGAGACGCGAGCCTCGCTCGACCCAGCCTTCCGCATGTGTTGCAGCCAGAGGCGCGGGACGCGCTGCGGCTCGAGCAGGATCCACAGGTGCGCGTCCTCGTTGCGGGGCAGGCCGTTCGGGTTGTAGATGAGGTGCGTCAGCACCGGCGGCGGCAGCGCCGAGCCGCGCGGTGGCGCCATCTCGTGCGCCAACTCGTACGCCCGGCGCACCTGCGATGACGAGTAGTCGTCGCCATCGCGGCCGATGGCTTCCAGCTGCGTACGCAGCTCGGCCGCGCTGCAGAAGCCTGCCATCGGACGCAAAGGGCCCGTCGCGGAGAGCCAACGAGAGCCAAGAGGCGTCCACAAAACAAAGTTTGATGGACTTCCGCAAAACAAAAAGAAAGAAAGAAAGAAAACACACAACCCAAGGGAGGGATGGGAGAACGGCACGCCGCCACCACACAGGGATTTTAAGGAGAGGAGTGTGGTGCGCTCCGCAAAACAAGATCACGCGAGCGAGAATAAAGATTTTCTTTAGCTAGCTGTGCAGGCCACAGCTCGGCGTGCACCCTTGCGGGTCGCGGCGCCTTGGCAAGCGCCCCCTCGATGCCCGAGCTGCAGGGCCTCCCGGCTGACGCCGCCGGGCAGCCTCTCGAGCATCAGCGGGGCCGCCCCCGCGACACAAAGCCCCGCACCGGCGGAGTCAGGCTGCGGTCGCTGGAGTCGCTGCCTGCGCCCGAGCGCGTGCCCCCTGCTCTGCTGCAGCTCACAAGCCGCATCCCCACGGTGGGACGTGTGGGCGTCGAGCGGCTGTCTGGCCTGGCCGGTCGAGTGCTCGGCGGCCGGGACGCCGACGTCGTGTGGTCCTGGCTGCTGGGGCGGATGCCGCTCTCTGCCGTCAAGAATGCAGTCTGGCGTGCGCTGCACAAGGCGGAGCAGACCACGTCGGACTTTTACGGCCTGCTCGCGCCCCCCTTTGAGGAGCTGCGAAAGCGCGCGCAGAGCCTGCGCACGCTCAGCGACGCGCAGCTCATGTGCTGGGACGCCTCGCCCGTCGGCGGCCGCGAGTGGATGCAGATCATCATCTTGGACGCGATAATCACTCAAGCGCGGGCGAGAGCGCCGGCTGCTGTGACGGCGCACGTCGAGGCGGCCGACCCGCCGACGCACGCGTGCCCGATATGCTGTCGCGACGTTGACGCCGCCGCGAGCCGGGTGAGCACCTTTGCGCGCGTGCGCGCACGCGGCCTTCAACCCCCTCTCCCCTCCCCCTCTCCCTCGTACCTCTGCGCTCGCTACACACTGCGAAGAGGGCAGACACGGCGCGCCCTCTGAGGGGCGGGGAGTCCGATGAGGGTGCGATCCAGGCCCGGCAAACACGCCGGGCTGCGGCTTCCCCTCCCTCGTTCGGAGACCTCAACCCTCCCACCCGCCCCGGCACCACCGCACCCCTTCACCACGTCTCACCCGGTCCGGCTTGCACTGCAGCGGCTGCCTGCCGACGCCGTCATGAGCGACGACGTGATGGTTCTGATGCTGCACGGCCCGTGCTACCACACCGCGTGCTACGAGTGCCTCTTTGACCGCGCAGTGCCGTTTTTAGAGCCCGGCGTCCTCGAGTCGGGCGACGCGGAGCGGATCGACGCGGCGCTGGCGCGGGTGGTGGGGGAGGGCCACGTCGAGTGCGGCACGTGCCGTGCGGCCCTCAGCTGGCCGTGGACCGCGTGCGGGACGCACGCGGTCAAGGGGCACAGCAGCTAGCTGAGACGGTCGCCGGGCTAGCTGAGACCCGCGGGTCGGCGCCACTAGATTGGGGGAAGCTCCGCGGGACCGGACCGTACCGTCTCGGCCCTGGGGCGCACTTAGCATCGCACTCATCACACGATTGCGGGGTCTGGTGAGGCGCGCCCTCTTGTCGCTTCCCAGACCATCCCTTGCCAGAGACCCGTCGAGCCTCCTTAGTAGCACACGAGCACAGCGCGCCCCCACCCCTTCCCTTCCCTCCGCCACCAGCCTGGCAGTGAGACAGGTCTGCTCGTGGATCCAGGGCCTGTGCCCTCGCCAGCATGTGCGAGCAGGGGGTGGTCTCAACACGGGCGAGCTGTACACCACTAGAGAGTCGAGCGAGAGTGTGGCCGCCCCCTGCCCCTCCGGTGCGCTGCGACCTGTGTGATATGTGACGTGGGCGATGTGATGCGTCGCGCACAGATGTGGATTTGCATACCGTAAAACGTGTTCATCGTGTTCAAAAACACGCGCAACAGACCAGAGAGTATGGAGCGAGCACATTCGCGCACACCCAGGATGGGGCACTGCGCATCACTCCGTCACGCGTCAGACCCCACGAGACAGCCTCTCCCCAACAGCCTCTCCCCGCTCACTCCCCAAGGCCCCACTCCCCCAAGCGCGGCCGCCACTCCGGCATGGCACAGAGGCGCTTGACTTGCATGCCTGGCTCGGAGGTCGAGCCACGCAGCCGCTTGCGCTCCGTGGAATTCTGCACCCGCTTCGCCCCATCCTCGAGCGACTGGCGCGAGGCGAGGGTGAGCACACGGCCGGGGCGGGCTGACGGCTGCGCGACAGCGGAGGGGAAGGTGGGGGGGGGCGCCATTCGGCCCAGGGTGCGCCACTCGGGCTCCACCGGCAGCACCCGTGAGCGGGGTGCGTACGCGGTGCCGCTTGCCTTTGCGCCACGGTGGCGCAGGTGAGAGAAGCACTGCTCGGCCACCTCCGGGCCGGCGTCCAGGATGCCCCGGACCACCTCGACCATCACCCGCGTCAGCTTCTCTGCACCCTCCTCCTCGATGAGCATCCGCACGCCCGCCATATCTGCGCCCTCCTCCGCCGCGTCGCCGCAGGTGACGTACGGCGTGGGCAGCGTGACCGCCTTGACCCCGAGGGGGTACATCACCTCGTGCGGCGGCGGCGTGAAGAGCGGGTCGGGCGGCCGCGAGAGGACGGCGGTGTGGTAGGAGGTGGCAGCGGCGGAGAGGCGGTGGTCACGCGACAGGACCGGGAGCGGGGGCGGGTACTTGGCCAGAGCGAGCTGCCTCTCCGCCGGCGACATGCGGCGGAGGCGGAGAGGCCGCAGCTTGCTCCCGGTCTGCCGGAGCGCGTACGACTCGACCACCCATGGCCCGCGAAGCCAGCGGAATGGCGTCAAGTACTTGCCCTCCATGTCCTTCTCGGGGTTGGCGCCCGAGGTGTCCACGCCGGCCTTACGCAGGATCTCGGTCAGGAGGAAGATCTCGTTGCGCAGCACGCCCGCCGCCGCGGCGGCCGCCTCCTCCTCCCCCTCCTCCCCCTCCTCCTCCTCCTCCTCCTCCTCCTCCTCCTCCCCCCCCCCCTCCTTGGCAGCCTCCTCCTCCTCCTCCTTGGCCGCATCGAGCTTCTCCTGCTCGGTCGCCCGGAGGGCCTTATGGGGCAGCATCTGAGGCCAGCCAAGGGGAGGGGAGGGGGGGGGGTACCTTGTAGAGGGCTTTCTGCAGCGGGTAGGGGTTCAAGCTGCCGTTCGCGTTCTGGGGCTTGAAGGGCACGCCCAGCTCCACCCGCTCGCAGAGGACGGCGGCGAGGAGCTCCGAGAAGCGGTGCACCGAGATGCCCTCGATGGCCGAGAGGTCCCGCACACTCACCAGCACGCCGCGCCCGTGCTCGACCATGTGCCCCATCGAGAGCAGCGAGATGTACTCCGGCGGCGCCTGCTTGAGCTGCGCCTCGATCTGAGGCCCAAAGGAGTTGTCGGCGATGTTGACAATGGAGCACTGGCTGAGGAAGTGGGCGTGCGCACGGTAGATGCCGCGCGCCTGCGAGAGCGGGCCCAGGAGGGGATGTGAAGCGGAGATCGAGGCCGAGGGCGAGGAACGGCAAGGGGACGCTGCGCGCCGCAAAGGCGGCGAGGTCGAAGCTGCCCTTGATCGCGCCGACCGCAGCAGCTGCGCGGTTGTCGCCTGTGCAGCCCGAGGAGGGGGATAGGGTGTGAGGGTGAGGGAGGGGCATGCGAGAGGGGAGAGGCGGGGAGGAGAGGTGGGAGCATCGGGAGGGAGAGGGCATGGACGGCGAGCGCACAATTGTTTGGGCCCATTGCTCCGGGGAGCGTGTCGAGGGTGATGGCGTAGGCGAAGGTGAGGAGGAGCGGGTCGTCCATCAGGTAGCACACGGTCTCCCACGAGATCCCAATCTCCTCGAAGGCCGCCGCGCGCTTCTCCTCCGGCATGTCGCGGCCGAGAAAGTACAAGTTGTTTTTCACGCTGTCCACGGTGGCGTCGGTGACGGTGGCCCCCTTGCCCTTGGCAGACCAGCCGGAGACGCGGATGCCGTCGACGGCGGCATCGAGCACCGTGGCCGTGCCCGGGTCGTCGAGGCTCAGCTCGCCCTGCGCCGTGCGTGCGAGCAGCGTTGTGAAGCACGTCGTGGCGAGCCACACGGCGCCCGGCAGGTGCAGCTCGACCGTCTCGAGGAGGCGGAGCGCCTCCTTGTCTCGCCGGATGGAGATGTCGACCGTGGGCTCGGTGGCAAGCTGCTTGGCAAAGTTGATCTCCGCCGCCGCGGCGCGGCCCTCCTCCGAGAGCGCGAACGCGAGCGCCGCGTTATGCTCTGCGTGGAAGCCGCTCATCAAGAGTCGTGTGCCGCGCAGGCGCCCGCTGCAGTCGGCGCGCGTCTGGACGCACCACCCACCGTTCACCCAACGGACACAGAGGAAACCCTCTGCCGTGCGCAGCAGGGCCACACCCTGTGCCTCCGCAAAGCTTGCCGCCGCCGCCTCCGTCGCCTGCGGCACGTAGCCGTCTGGCCGCCATATGCGCGTCGCTGCGTCGCTGCGTGCAAACTTGGAGGCGCCAGCGGCCGCGAGCTTCGTGGCCGTCTCATGGCCTGCCGTCCGAAGGAGCGCATCAAGAGCGGCCACTGCGGTTGTGAAGCACGACCACAGCGGCCGCTGGTAGTTCTTCTCGAGGCACACATGCCAAGGCTTCTGGGCGGCTTGTGGCTTCTCATCGTAGTAGAGCCCCTGGACGCCAGTGATGCTGGAGGAGAGGATGGCGGCCGAGTACCCCAGCTCCGCGAGCTTGCTTGCAGCCGCACGCGCGCGTTCCGACACCGTCGACTTCTTGTCCTCCGCGGCGGCGAGGGCCTTGATCTTGGCGTCGTCGACGTCGGGGGGCCGGGCCGCCAGCGCTGCGACTGGCTTCTTCGCCGGCTGCTCATCGTCGAGCCTCTTGGGCGGCTTGCGCACCCGCGACGAGCTCCTCGCCTGAACAAGGACGCCGAGCGTCAGGGCGCACGATGCAGCAGTGGGGGGGTGCGCGCTTCTGGCGCAGAGACGCACCGCAGCGCTTGCGGCCAGAGAGGGACCTGCGAGGGACGCGCCGGGCGAGGAGGCAACCCGAAGTGGCTGGTCAGTGCCCTCTCGCGGCTTGTCGAGGTGGCTCGAAACGTCGCCCGTCCGCGAGGCCATGGCGAGCAGGCAGGGCAGGGGCGCCTCGGAAAAACCGCGGAGGGCCTTCGCAGAGGGTAGCACAAGAAATCTGGGGAGACACATATGCAGGTCAGTCAGTCAGTCCTAGGATTCGAGGTTTTTAGGGGTAGGGTATGGTAGCGTCAGGGCGGCGGACGGCGCCTGTCAGGCGTAGTGCTGGGTCGCTTGCGGGCGAAGGGTGGCAGCGCGGTGTCCGAGAAAAGAGAAAAGCAGAAACGGTTCCCCCCTCCCTCCCTTGGTTTGTCCGTTTTCTTTCTTTCTTTTCTATCACATGACAAGCGAACCAGCGCCAGAAGGCGGACTCCTTTTGGAAGCGCGGGCAGGCGGGCTGCGCGACGTCGGCAGCGACGGCGGGAAGAAGGAAGCGGCGGTGCTGGCAGAGCGTGTCCGACCAACCGGCCGCGTCGTCGCGGCCGCACACGTGCTGCGGGTGGAAGGACTGGTGCAGGCACTCCCAGAGGAAGGTGGAGCCGGACTTGGCCGGCCCGGCAACAAAGACCGTCGGCATCACTCGGCCGAGCCCGTCCTTGTACGGGCTATCCATGGACGAGTGTGTACGGGCTATCCATGGACGAGTGCCGATACGTTGTCGTCTCTCTCGTTTGGAAGCGCCGCCCGGCGTGAAATAAAAAAATAGATACCGGGTATTGAGCTGGTGTACCCGGGAGGAGGAGATGGGGGAGGGGAGTTACCGCGGTACGATAGCGGACCCGCCGGCGAACCGGAAAGCCGAGGCCGGAGGGCCCCAGGGGGGGCTTGGGGGCAGTTGTCGGAGGAGGCGAGAGATGAGCTAACGCGGCCTCTGAGAGTGGAGTCGGGACGTGCGGGCTCACCGGGGGAAGGCCAGTCGCAGTGGCGACCGGACCACCGCGACCTTCGACAGGGAGGGCCACGCCTCCCCGTCGAGGTCATTCGCGTCCGCCGCATGCGCCTCTGAAGCAGACGTTTCGTGGATCAAAGCCATCGCACGCTCGGGGTCGGAGAGCACCTCGTCCGGCGACATCACCGTAGCGAGGTGAGGCACAAGCGCGAGCACCCCCTGGCACAGCCTTTTCGCCGTGATGCCGAGCTGTATCCTCTCAATTCCGAGCTGCGCGAAAAGCTGGCGCTCCCTCTCCTCCTCGGTCTCTGCCGCCTCGTCTGCGGATGCCCTCGGCGCCTCGGTGCGCGTCGCGCCGACGGCCAGCCCATCGGCAGTCTCCTTCGCTGGCGCCTCGCGCTCCTCCGACGCAGCCTCAGGAAACTGCGATGGCCCAGCGAGGCTGCCGCCTGAGGGCTGCATGTCACACGGCTCGGGAGGACACTCTTTTTCGCAAGACACGCTCTGGCATCTCGAAACATTCTCGCCGCCGCCTACATTCTCCGTCTCGAGTAACCTCCCCTGCACCCCGGGGGGGGGGGGTCCTAGTGGCGACAGCATACTTGGGAAATAACGACACGGAGGACGCCTCAAAAGTGGTGCGGGACGCGGTACGAACTAGAACATGCATGTACACGGCGAGAAGGGAGGCGGCAGAGAGGACACAGAGAAGAGGGAGATAGTGGACGAAGGACGTACGGGCACATGTGTCAGAGCGCGCACGAGTGGGTGTGCGGACAATTTCGAAAGACGGTGAGGCCGGGATCGCACACGGCAGGGGTGGCGGGTGGCGGGACGGCTGTGGAGCGAAGTGGCCGTAGCCAGCCTCAAACACCCATGGGACAATAAGATGAGATTGCCAGATGAGGAGATGAGAATGGGGGGCAGGACAGGCGGGCGACATTCGACGACGTCGGGGGTCACAATGT